TAATGGCGCGGTTCTGACGTTTTCCTGGCACGTAAAATATCAAAATCGTGAAAAAAGCCTGGAAAACGTCAGATATTTCGGACTACGTATTATCCTGCTCAAAAAATTAAAAATGTATTTCCCTGGACGAAGGATATACCGATATTTCTATAGGTTTATACTAGGACATTCGTCCTAATGAGAACTTTTGAAAAAAAATGTTTATGTGCAATACTTGTTTATTTACATATCCTTAACGAAGAAGGAATTTTCGGATTTCTATCTGGGTCATTATTTCTCGAAAACAAGTTTTTAGTCAACAATATATCCTCTATAATTTGTGTACTAGAATATCACAAGTTGTAACGTCGGGAATTTAGATACAAACTGGTACCAAGATTATGGTTTAAAATAAGCTATATATTCAAACTTATCTGAAACAAGGTCATCATAAGGACCATCTTTATTGAATAAGGGAGAACAATGGTCTTGGAAAACTAGCTAGTATTGCTTTGAACCAACAATATATATAATGTAAGGGAAGTTCTTTGTGGACTACTACATTATATACCAGATATGTTTATTTTAGGTTGTACAGTCTCCTTTACACAACACGATCAGGAATCACGAATTCCGGTGAGCTCATATTGGACCGCGACTAGTTATTCGAAATCACAATGCGAGAGAGAATGTGCGGCTGATCTAGCCTGTGCTGGATATGGCTACAAATCATTATCGGGGGATTGTACAAAATCACAGCGCTCGGACTCCACCGACTCAACCTGTTCTTTGTGTTATTTTTATCACAAGAACTGTGACACAGGTATGAATTAATTTAACCATATTGAGTATTTGTAGTTGATTTCAAATGTACACACGAGATGAAGTTAAATACTAGTGGTACTGGTATATATAACATGTATTTAACATACATGTATAACTAATCACACACACACACACACCCTCACACACACACACACACACACACACCAAGAGAGAGAGAGAGAGAGAGAGAGAGAGAGAGAGAGTTGGGTTTAACTATACATGGTTTAAGAAATTTGAATGACAAATATGTATGTAAATAAGACATATGACTATTACTTCTTACCTATTTTGTTTCATATGAAGCAGAATTTGTTCAAAATCTTTTACCTGAAAAGAAGAAAACACTTGCTGTGGCCTTAAACTCGACATTTAGATATATCGACGACGTATTGTCAATCAACAATGGTTATTTCCATTCTTATGTCGACATGATATATCCCGGTGAACTTGAGATAAAAGATACCACAGAGTCTGACACATCTGTTTCATATTTGGATATTTTACTTGAAAAAGACGTTAATGGTAATCTAACAACATAGCTTTATGATAAACGTGATGACTTTCACTTTTCAATCGTCAACTTCCCTTACCTATGCAGCAATATACCCTTATCACCTGCATACGGGGTTTATATCTTTCATTTTATTCGATACGCCAGAGCATACTCTACGTATAAACAATTTCTAAAACGAGGTAAGTTATTGTCAAACAAGTTGATGAAACAAGAATATCAGTAGTCTCGTTTAAAGTCATCATTTCGTAAGTTCTATGGTCGATACAAAGGCCTTGTCAGCAAATACAATCTATCATTAAGTCAAATGCTGACTGACTTTTTTCATACTAATTGTTAGGCCATTATTTTCACATTGAGTTGTTTTCCTGATCATGACAAAGAGAACACGGCGGGTGTGACCGGTCGGCAGGGGATGCTCACTCCTCCATGGCACCTGATCCCACCTCTGATGTCTTTGAAGTCCATGTTTGCTCTGCTCCTATTTTGTAATGTTTAATGGACTTTTGAGCTTGAATACTGTTCGTTATCTTCACATATTTCATTCTAAAAGAAGGAATGGTTATATAACTTTTATACTTATTTAAGAAGTAATGGTTATATATCTTTTAAGTCTGATTAAAACTCATATTTCCAAAGTAATGGACTCTCTGTTATGAGTAAGTGCAGGAGTGAAGAAGAATCTACTTGTTTTTTAAAATGAATATTACAAGGATGCAAAAAGTTGACCGACTTGTTGTGTTGAATGGTGATAATACTGAATCTAGCAGTGCCTCTAAAGTCTTCCTTTATTTTATAATTTATAATAAATTTCGAAAGATTTTTTCATATTCGACCCGTTTCTGACTGTGATTTAAAAATCTTCTAATTATTTTTTTGTATTGTGAGCTTTGGTTGTGTCTCTGTGTGTTTTTTCTGTTCGTTTCTTAGTGATGGACTAAAGACGCATCTAATTGGATGTTTCCATTATCAATAGATTTTTTTCATACCATATATATCGAGTATAGTTCAATTAATTGGACCGCACGTGCGATAACAACGGGCGGATTTTTTAGTATGGTATCATTCTGTTAAAATAACCCGATAAAATTTCTGTGCATCTAAAGGAAGTCACCACAAATATATGGCAATGCCTGAATATGACAAGTCAGTACTCTAAAGTGCATGCTTCATCTTCTAATTGGATATATTTATATTTATCATTTAAAAGTTGGAGGAAGGATGGGTTGTCACTCTACAATTTGAGTTTTAGGAATGTTCCGCTGTAATCGGTCACATTTTAAAAGGATGTTATGAATGGCTGAAAAGGATGGTATTCAACGTCTCAATGGCACACACCCTATTCTTTTAAACAGGGTAAGGGGATATTCAATACGTGTCAAGGCGGAAGGGACACCCAAGTAATGTAGATGCAACATTTGTAATTTAGTAACTTTTGTCTGCTTCCAAATATATAAAAGGATTACATGTACTAATTTTAAGCATATCATTATAGAATAAAACATATTTACATAACTACAATAAAAATGGCTATATTTCACCTTAAGAAAACAAATAGCATAAAGCGGATTGTATTGAAGGAAGGGGTTGAGGTTGGGAGTGGTGTTATTTACCACATCTTTTACATGTAGAATTGATAAGAAAATTTAGTCATTCAATTCAGGGGAAAAAGTCCTCAATCTTTTCAAATTTATTCTAAAGTTTCCAATCAAGTCAAGGAAAACTCTGAAACGAGAATATATGGAGGAAGCTCAACAGAACTAAAATATTATACACCTATTTATACTTGCTATGAGGACAATAGCAAGTTCATTGTTCCCCATGACAGCAACTATTTCCCTCGGTTGTGCATCGGGAAAAAGTTGCTGTCAAGGCCTCGAGGGGGACAGTAAACTTGCCATTGTCAGAATAGTCAATAAATAGGTGTAAAGCAGATTTTTCTTTTGTCACGTCACGATCCGGATAAAACCAGAAGAGTTTCGATATGAAATGCGAGGGAAATGGAATGCTGCTGGTGAATATAGTTTGATGATTATTTCACCATGGGCGAATAGCACAAAAACTCTTCCACGGTTAGTGGCTGTTTAGAAAAAAATACATGAAGCTGGTTTATTTGTCGTTACTTTATAAAGAAAAAAATTACAGTCACCTGGATGCAAGTAAAAATGTTTTTATTCATATCTTTGGCCTTATAATATACGAGGGTCGTTCAATAAATAATGCAACAAACAATCAAAGTAAATGTAGATGTATTTGATTATATTTTTTTTTTTACAGTTGAAACGTTCATTTAAAGAGCTCCTAATCACAGAAAACCCCATGATTTTTCCTAAAGAAATTCACTTTTAAAGCATGGTCACTACACTGAGCTGAAAACCGTATAAAATGATCTCTGCTAAGATGAAAATAAGAGGGTATCTGAAAACTGTGCTTCTTTAAATAAATCGCCGAAAAACTCATATTAATGATATGATTTTTATATGTGGAAAGAAGAGTCTTTAACGCTGTATAGTTTTCAGATTGATTCAGAAATTCAAAACTAAAAAAGGAGAGTTAAAATATAAAAATGAAACTGGTCGATTGAAATTTGTAGGAACACCAAAAATTATTGATGCTATGTACAATATGATATCTGAAAATGTCAGATGTACATCGAAAGACATTGCTAGGACACTAAGTATTTCATCATCACAGCATTTTATAGAATTCTGACGACGGAAAAGAATATTATAATTTTTCTATCAGATAGGTGCTTTATTTTCTCAAAATTGCCTAAGAGAAAACACGCATGCCAAGTATGCCAACGGTCTAATTTTTAGAAAAAAAAACCATTTTAACAAAATAGAAAATTTGTTAAATTTGTGTGACGGATGACGAAACATGGGTGCACTTTTTATAGCCAAAAAGGAAGATCAATAATAAAATGTGGAATCAAAGAAAAAGCTATCGTTCTTATTATTGTACAAAGAAAAAAGGACTCCAACCATGCTTTATTGGGTTTTTTTTTTCGAGAGGTCCAGTAAAACATGTACAAACACCCAAAGGAAGGACCATCAATGGTAACTTTTATTTTCAAATTGCACTGAGGAAAGGTAAAGAGATTTCCTGCAAAGGAAGTCCAAATACCGCCCCAGGGTAATTTTCTTGCATCTGGCAACGCTGCTGCAAATAAGCACAGAGAAATAAAAATTCTGAAGAAAATAAAAGTTTACAGAGCTTTGCCATCCCCCATATTCGCCAGATCTCAGCTATTGTGAGATTTTTTTCATTCCAAAAATGCATGAAAACAATCAAATGAAGGTTGTACAATATTAGATATATCATGGGAAGTGATATTCATCAGTGACTTTGGGGACTTGTGTAAATGATAACAGGGAATGCTTTGAGAGATTGAAAATGTTTAGAATATGTATTGCGTACTTTTCTTACTTTTACATGACCTGTTGCAATATTTATTGAACGACCCTCGTATAGCTGTAATATAATTATCAGAAAAATTAAAGATAGTAAGAAAAAAATGATAATAATGGCTTTTTCTATTTTTTTTTTTCTTAATGCAATTTTACAAACTACTAGAAATATGACAAACATGTATTATTTTTCAATAGGTTGCCTGCTAAATTACACCCATCATGGCCCTTTCCATAGAACGAAGGGGTATTACAGCGCAGAAGACAAAGCCACCTTTGCCCAGTGTGAAGCAGACTGTTCCTCAGAAGGCCGCTGTTTAGGGTTTGGATATAATTATAATTTACTTCGATGCTTCAAATCGGACATCAATAACCCGGAAGACATAAGTTCTTGTGATCAGTGTTATTTTTCAACTAAAAATTGTCTAGGAGATGTACTAGGTCTGATTACCACTTCTAATGTCGAACAGGTTTCAAAAACTGATACAACTTATTCTGTCAGGTCTGGAACTATGCCAATGTCTACAGTCAGTACTGGAAACTCCGAAACCACAACATTGTCGACCTTCGAGTCCAGTAATTCGGAAACTGCATCATTATATGTAATAGATTCAAGTACTCTGTATTCACCAGAGCACGAAACATCCATATCTGATTTCGGGAATGAAACTTGCAAACAGATATGCTTTTGTCCTTCAAATTTTACAAAAAATCATTCAATAGAAATTTGGAAAGAGGAAATGATGGCAAAATTGAAAGTTATAAAGGATGAGTTGTCGGTAAACAAACGGAAGTTGATATGTGCATCTGATCCCCGCTATTCGTCACGCGTAGTTGGCTTGGTAGGAATTGCAGTTCTCTCTATAATTGGAGCGATTATTGTCATTCCGGATCTAATTAGTGCTGCTTTGCACCATAAACGAGCGGGTTAATTTTGCTTAATTGGACATATTATACTGTTACTTTGAAACAATGAATTCATGTTTCACGTTACCTTTAGTTTCTGTGACTCTTTAATTATGTTCCTCAGAAGAATTGCCATGAAAGCTTTCAGTGACAGCCAAAAAATCAAATAATGACATGTATATATTGAACACATAGCAACATAGATTTTAGTCGGAATTCTGTAAACTTGTCCAGAAACCCAAGCCACATCAAACCAGTGATCATAAAAGATGGACTCAATTACTTTCTGAAGTTTAGTAACCTTGGCGCTGAATCTAGATACATATACAAATACAAAGAAGATTACCTAGGAGAGAGAAAAATTTATGCTGGGGTTAACGATGTAGCAGGTGCCAGGATTGTGACCAAACTGTCTCTTACATTAAGGATATATTTAGAGGTTTGTGTTTGCTCTGCAGACAATTTGTACTGTTTACAATGGCATCTGTTCGTTATCTTCATATTTTTTGCTTCATCAGGACTAAAATAATTGAAAAAATCGGATAGAAAATAAACTCATCCAACAAATGACAGAGAACAAGACGAACGAACTAACATATGATCCCAATGCATCGGAATCTATCAAAACGATATTGTGAAAAAAGTATATGTTGTAATTGTCAAATTGTCAACCACATCAATATAAATGTATATAATAATGTTGATGTCCACAAGTGTTCTGTGATTTGTTGAAAAGAAACATGAATATAGTCATCAGAGAAGCAATAGAAGAACGTGGGATACGGAAAAGTAAAATGTCCATTATTAAACGATCTCCTGAAATTCCAGTATATATTAACAGGCAGGTTAATAGTTGTAAAATAATAATTAAAACAAACCACATTCCTTTTTTTCTAAAGTCACATTAAAATATTTACGAGAGTAGCAAAAGTGTTACGCTGTAAAACACGCAGGTGAACTTGGCATATTTAGTTTGGTATCTGCATTCGAATAAAATAATGCGATTCAGCTCAAACAGCCATCATGTGGCCTTAGAATCATAGTCCAGTAAACATTCTTTTGCTTTGATATAGTCATTTTATTTCCATTCATTCATTCATTCATTGACTTAATTTACTTTCGGTCGTCTTGAGCTCTACAAAAAAAAAAAAAATTAAAAAAAAAAAATGAAACAACAAACAAAGAAACAAAAAAACGTAGTCATATACGTAAAAGAACTGACCAACCATAGTGATAGAGATATAAAATTGACCCTGTTTCTGTTAAGAATGGTAATTGATGAGAACATTGATTCCGTCAGGATTTAAATGGACCAAAATCTGATACTCTACGGAATAGTCAGTCAAGTAATGATCAACTATCACGTAAAGAGCTTAAACTGGAATCGTACTGATTAAATTCTTAGTTCATAGGAGACTGACGGAATCTAGTCAGTGGAAATTTACATGCCATAACAAATGAAATCGTAAAGTATTGTAAGCAAGAGATAAATGCATTGATTGAGCATGTTTTACTGCTACATGTAACTTTGAGCAATTAATTCAATGTTTTTTTAATAACAGAATCCGATTGCTCTCCGATTCTCCCTTATTTGCTTTCTTTTAGAGTGGAAAATAGACCGTATATCTGCAGAATTAAATTACACAAGTGCATCTTCATAATATTCGAATCTAAGTATGTACTTTCTGACAAAAATTTTGGAACGTTGTGAAAACTTTGAAAACTTATTTTGCCTTTTGTTCATAGAGGAGGTACATGGGAAAGAATTATCAAAAACTAGGATTAAAGGTAGTGTTCAAATCAAATTATATGATAAATGATTATCCTGGGGAATATATGTCAAGGCTGGCAAGTAAGATTACATCCAAATATGAAACAGATGTGGCAGACACTGCTGTGTCTTTTTTTCCAGAGTTCACTGGAATATATAGAGTCAATATATAAATTGAAGTAACTATTGTTAATTGATAATACGTCGTCGATATATCTAAACGTCTAGTTGAAGGCCACAACAAGTGTTTTCTTCTTCTTATGTAGAAGTTTTTGAATAAATTCTGCTTCAAAAGGATATAGGAATAAAGGAGCACAATTAGTTCGGAATTCTAACCATTCGTTGGAAGACCTGGTCTCCAAAGACTACATAGATATCGTCAATGAAGAACTCCAACATTATTTTAATATCAACTTCAGAGTACTTGTGTGTAGGATCAGAGTGATTTTTTAACAAATTTGTTGATGACCAATCACAAGACATGAAAATTTCCGAGTTTTATTTTTATTGAAGATGCAGTTGTCTATGATATCAAAAAGCCTAATTTTTAATTTATCGTCGGGAATGGTTGTATAAAGTGGAGAAAAGTCATACAATTTGATGCCCGTTACTAACTTTTGCAAATAAAAAAAATGTCAATCGAATTTTAAACAAGTACATAGATGTCTAAACAAATGAAGGTTTGCATTTGTTTTTGTTAATTAATTCAGCAAAATCTCTGATACGTTCCATTTTATTATATTTCTTCATATGTATCTTACTTAAGTAATGATCAAAAAGACCACTGTTAAAAGAAAAAAAAAATAAAATCCTACATTGCCAGATTAAAATTAAGAGATATTTCAATATGGCAATCGAAAAATATTTTTTCCTTTTAACATATTTAACGTTTATCATAGAGTTTAGTTGTTATTTATTTTAATAAAACATTCAAATATGAAAAATATGTGTCAGGCTCTGGTCATCTTTTATTTTATGGAAGAGTTTCAGTTTATTTCGAGTTCAGTGGGATTTCAACACGTGAATGAAAATGAATATTATTTATTACCAAATTGGCGTCGATATATCTATATGTCGAATTGAACAGCTGTAGAAGGCAACGCCAAGTTACTCCTACTTTCCATGTAGAAAGTTTTGAATACATTCTGTTTCATGAGCGCGAACAAAAACATGTCTGCTAATAAAGGGTACGAATATTACCCATGCAAATTCCAGCACTTTGTTGGAAGACCAGATCTCTAAAAACTAAATAGATACACAGGTAATGCTTTCTCCTCCATGCCACCTGATCCCACCTTTGATGTCTGCTCTGGGTTTGCTCTGCTCCTCATTTGTATTGTACTGTTACATTGAATTGTTGCATATTCATAGTTACATTCAGTAGATAAAAATACATCTATATCCATTTGAGAATTTTAACAAAGTTAACTGCGTTAGCAACTGTTTTTGTTTAAAGTATTTGCATTGATAATTAATTATAAAACAGTTTTGTTGCACTCCTGACTGCAGTATGATTTAAAATCAAATCCAGAAAACACATAAATTTACAAAGCTCTGTATATATCAAAATGAAATGAAATTGGGCATTATTTATAGTCCAGTACTGGTTATAAGCATAAAATTGTTGAAACTTGACTTTATATTACAAATTATTCCCTAGGAATGTAAAACTAGCTTAAAATGTAGAAAGAAGAAAAAAGTATATTTTATAGGGCATTCTACCTTATGGGACAAACACTATTGGCGATTTAGGTAAATCAAAAACATTTTACTCATCACTTTTTGTTTTTATTTATACATATTTGATCATTGATGATTCTAGAAATTTTGTTGCACTCCTGACGAAGAGCATGTGAAATTTTAAAGTAGCATCATGAAGCATATATTACACCAGAACATGTTCCATTGTTTCAGTAAAGTCGTTTTAGAATTATCTGAATTTAATTACAAGTTTTCTGTGTGTGTGTGTTAAATGTCTTTAAAAAAATTAAAAGAAAAGATAAAAAACATATCAGGATTGATAAAATTGAAATAGGGACAGATTTCAGTAATAATACTGTCGTTAGTTTAGTGATAAATTAGTCAAACAGATGCTTATTGATCAAATAATACATATTAGTATGTATAGAAGTCATTTCATCATTGAACGTAAATATTTCAATCCTGATATTTTGAGCATCATTTTTGTGCTGAAAATATCAATGAGATGTCTAGCAGGCATTTAGCCAGTATCAAAAGATGCATGTTGAGCGATAAAAATGTATTCAAATGGCCTGACTTTTTAGTGAAGATTGATAATTATGTGTCCGGTCATTTTTTAATTTACACATAGTGTAGCTTTATTGTAATCTGTATATTTACTTCATTTGTAATTGTTTAAACGTTGTTATGCTGTTCCAAGCCTTCTCCAGCTTCAGACTTAATAAATCATTTACTGAATATCATTTGTCAGACTTGCCGACATTTATTTTTCAGTGATATATTTTGATCCTGTATTTTATAAAATGCTCTTATCAGAAAGGACTGTCTTCATTACCTTTCTGTTTTTGAGATACATGCACGGAGCTACAATATGAACTCTCAAGTTATTAGAAACCGAACTCTTGTAAACTAGTAGCATGCATCCAAATATGCTGCATTTAGGTAAGAGTTTTCATTATGACTTTTTATTTTCAAAAATACTCATCTAGCTAATTGCTCATTAGGGAATTATGGTTACATACAGTATCAAAAATATGACTTTAGTATATACGCTCCACGTTGCAATATCAATGAAAAGTTGTCAAGGTACAATTTGTTGCTTTCGGAATGGATCTGCATCAGATAATAATCTAAAGTTGCTGTCTAGATATGCGGGCAAAATATGATTTGATCAATCGAAGACAAAGTTTCTTTGTCTGAGGGTCCGACAAGACACATGTTGATTTACATTCTCTCATAATATACTTTCGATCTCCTCTCTCTCTCGAAAAAAAATAAAAATTAAAATGCTAAATGAAAGGATAGCTCTTGCACATAAGCTCCTAAATAAGAAAATTTCTTCCGGAAATTAACTATTCTAATCAAAAAACGTAATCTTTAGAGCCAATGACAGATTTTGGACTAATGTCGCTGACATACTCGGTTCAATATCAAAATAGGTGGACCTTCCAATCAGCGTCTGGTTTTTTGTAGTAGTTGAACAATGACATATTTACAATGATTTAAAAGTGCCTTGGATAAAGAAAATAACAGGATTTGAACCATATATTTATTTATTCTCCTTTGCGTTCTAAATAGTTTACAATAGACAATATTTGGTATAATTAATACACATAATCAACACATAAGAAATGTACAACATAATGAATAAAATACAGTAAGTAGATCGTTATACATATGTAGTTAACATGTATATTCAATTGACTTACATTGTGCATAAATCAGCACATTACGAAGAAAATGTGTCCGAAATGAATATCACAATAATTTTAGATTTACAGAGTAGATTAAGTAAATTCTATCCTATCTTTGTTTTCAAAGGTCTGTGATTTTGCTCTCCTCACAAACTGTGTTGTTTAATTCGACTTTTGAGCATGATTATTGTTCGTTATCTTCCCATTACATGTACAATAAAGTTTAAGATGTTTCAAGTCACCTAGCCTACTTTGATAAATCTTCAAAAGATGTTACATCAGGTAATTTTCGGATGATGCATGTAATCTATACTCTCTGGATATGTGGTCGAGAAGATTTTCGTTTTATTTCACTGCTGAGTGTGCGAACTTTTGTAAAACTGAAACAAAATACAAGGTATTCAAAAGTATCCCCTTTCAACCGTGTCACACCTGCCGTGTGCCCCTTGTCATAATCGGGTAAAGGGAAAAATTCGTAGATAATTCATTGCGAAAATCTGCAATGTGAACAACTTTATTCCATATCAAATTTAATTCTTAAAACCAGAAACGAGGCGAAGAATGATAAACTTTCATATAGAAGCTTTTTGAGTTCCAAGGCAGAACTATGCATGATGTGGTTAATCATAGAGGATTGAGAAGATATTTTTGAATACGCTGTAAAATTTAAGGAATTTCATTTAAAGATCTTACTATAAAATTTCACTCCTTTAGACTATGAAACCCTCTGGGTTATAAATCTTAATTATGAATTCATATTTACTATTTGCATTTTCATGATTAATCATGCAAAGATGTATTTTATCTCCACTAAAGAATATTCTGATACCAGGAAAGTGTGACGGACAGACAAACAGGTAGACAGATGAACTGACGGGGTAGCAGCAATATCTCATCTAGGAATATATAGGGAATAAAGATTTTGTAGTTCTATTCAAGCTAGATTTTGTATATACATATATATGGACAATACTTTACACAACACACACACACGAATACAATGTGACACTGGAAAAGGAAATGATATTAAGCGGTGAAAAACTTTCTGTATTATGTAAGAAGTGCTTTTTTTGTAGAAATACATTTTTTGAAATGTTTCATATTGATGGATGAAATTGTCATTCTTAATAGTATATATCATTTACATAATGTCACTTGAAATGTGTTAAAATATTTTTTCCATTCTTGAACATCTTTTAAATTGATATCTGGAGCTTTGTCCTTAAATTGGCATTTAAAAAATCAAAACAATCAATTCAACCAATTTAACAAAGATGTAAAAAAAAAAACAAAAAAAAAAAACAAAAAACAAAAAACGGTAATCTGTTAAAGTACGTGCGTTAAAAAGTTTTAGAACATGCCTTTAAAACTGCAAATTTATTTCTTAAATGTATCTATATAGGTTTATTTTTAGATACACTTTCTGTGATCTTTTCTGTCACTTGAGATGATTTACCAAAACGACATTTTAGATTCAGTGACAGCCCAAAAGCTATATATACAAATACACCTTGACCACCATTAAGAAGGGTGTGTAACATAGAAAACAATTGGAATTCTGTAAATTGAGCTAAAAACCCAAACAGCCATGCTGCACCAGTGATGGTAGAAAGCCGGAAGTAGGCACCGATTTTCCCCTGTTCTTTAGACTTCCTGATGTCTACCTTGCCACGGATCCTAGAAACGGTCACCACAAACATAAAGGTATTGATACAGACAAAGAGCCCTACTGGAAGAGCGAAAGTAAACAGGACCATGTTCGGATTACCGATATAACAGGTGCGAGGAGAGTAACCAAGGCTTTCACCTTCACTCTCCATATAGCTCACAATTACATTGATAGTGATAATAAATGAGCAGATAAAAATATCTACTAGGAAGCAAGCAAGTACCCGCGACCTGACTTTCACTTGTGAATTTGAGAAGGATGTAAATGTTTGAAAGATTTGAAAGGTGGATAAACTCATCCAACATATAACAGAGAGCCAAAAGAAATGAACTAAAATACCAATTCCAATACATAGAGACTTACTCCAAAGAAAGAATTTGGAAAAAGTATAAGTCGTATTTGCCAAAACTGACAACCCAGCTAATATAATGATGTTGATATCCGCAATTGTTCTGTGAGTATTATTGAAAACAAACGTGCATATAGTCACTATTGAAGCAAGAGATGAGAGGGAGAGACAAAACAATGAAAAATACTTCATTAAGCGGTCTTCTGAGGTTGCCAGTAGACTGATAGGCTGGGTGGAAGCATTGAAATACTGAGTGAGGCAAATTTCAACACCCCGTTTGTCTAAAGATTCCTTGAAATACCTTGAGGAAAAACAGGATTGATACTCTGTAAGACATACAGAGAAATTTGACACATCTAGTTTAGCATCTGTGGTCCTTATTCTAACTTTTGGACAACGATACCAGTCAGCTGCGACTACCATCATCTGATCTTTGAGACAGTGTGGACGTGTTGGGTCATACCTGTTATCATTCAGCATGTTTATACTGTCATATAAATGCATTTCATGTCCATTCATTGGATTAAAATAATATCGATATTTAATGGCTCTACCAAACAATGAACCGCCGTAGATATGAAAACTCTGTCCGAGGACAGAGATTAAACCACGAAATGGAGAGACCATCAATTCAGAATTTAACGTCATATTTAATTTGGAAAACATATTCACTAAATTTTCTATCATCAGGTCAACGTTATGAAAGTGGTTGATCGATAGTTCTAAAACAATTGCCAAGAACATTTCATCCGTTGAAGACGGTATCAAGGCTGAAATCCTACAGAGATACTTAGTCATGTTACGATGTGACAGGATATCTTGAAGTGCTTGTCTGACTAAAGGTGTGTAGAATTGCATTTCGACTACGTCATAGTCATCAAGTGGTGTTACCTTTAGATTTAACTCGTAGTTGTTCTCTTCGAGCATAGGGTAGAGAGATTTGCACTCCGAGTTGTGTCGAAAATACTCTGCTTCACATTTTATTTCTAAGCACTTGCTCTAAAATAAACAAATCAACTGATGAAGTTCATATATAAACTTTAAGGAAGTATTCAACATCATTATAGCAATAAGATCATTCATTTCTTGGCCAAAGTTATACATGTATGGGGAACAGAACTTTAAAAAGAGGTACTAAATTGAAAACATATACATCTATCATCACTTTATAACGTAAATCACGTCATTAAAGGAGATTTTTGAAAAAAAATGACCGAACTAACTGAATATTATCATGCATATTTTCGATTGAAATGAACAAGATTAACAATTACCCACTATTAACTTTAACATAACATCTACCATAAAATGTTAAATATTTGTTACTTTTTTACATATCTCTTTTATTTGAATTATCTTCCTAGAAGGTAAGTATGCATCATTTAAATATATAATTATAAGCTGGCGTATTTTTTTTTTTTTTTTTTTTTTTTTTTTTGGAAAATTAGAAAGAAAATTAAATTAAAAACAATACCATCTTTTCGTCAAATATTTGATCTGGTTTGCATTTTGAGTTTTTTGTAATCCCTTCTTTTTTATTTTGTTTAAAGTCCATCAGGGCTGAAAAGGTTATTAGCATACTATCAATGCCTCCAAATGATCCACTCTTTCTATACTGAATGTTGAGATCAAGAGCTTCATTTTCCAAGAGAGCACAATATATGTTTTTGAAGACTTTGTCATTAGCAGTGTAGGGTAGATAGTACTTCTGGCAAGCAAGATTGAGGAAAGATCCATTGGTTAGTGTCTCTCTAATGAAAATAGGATCGTATGTACGTGTTACACAGGAACTAACAATTTTCTGAGTAGACTTCAAAGGATAGAAACCGATGTTGCATGCTGGATTTATGGCAAAAACAGATTGAAAAAGAGTTTCAGGATCATCTATTGTCATGAGATTGGATCGGCTGGTGCAAATCTTTTTCTTATCCCAGAGCACGAGATCAAATATCTGTTCGTTGTTACAGAAAGCACAATGAACATTAGAATACGTTTCATTTGTTAACAAAGACGTCACAGGTGTGATATTTGTCATATTTCTTAATGTAGATGGCATGCAGCTAGTACCATTTGGGCATGTTTGAATCATCCAATACGACTGCCAAGACCTGATTCCTGATTCAGTGTTCCATAATGGTTCCAGACAAGACATGGGGGGACCTCTCTCTTTGTCTTCAACAATAGGCGAATATTCAATAAAATCCGGAGCAGTTTTTTGTCTGTAGAATTTAGAGGGGCAGCAAGTGTCTCGTCTTACACAGGAATCATTGCATTCACATGGGGAGCACGACGGCTTATGTGTGAAAGTAAAGTTTCGTTTGAATTCCTTTCCGAGACACATGTTTTGTTCTGGACACAACAAAAGATAATAAAAGAGCAGTTCTTGTACTGTATCATTGTCAATCCATGAGGTCAGATGGATGGCTTGCTGAAAATCTTCTACACCTGGGTAGAGTATATTAGACTCCTGGGGACTGAAGAAAAATCCAACAGCAAGACCATCTAGTGCACCGAAGAAAAGTAGGAAAGTGTTCTGTAAAAGAAGTGGAGAAAATAAGACTATCTTTAATACATTATTACTGGTATCGAAACAAAAGCAACAAACATGCAAATAATTAGGAATAAAAAAAACAAAACAAAACAAAACAAAACAAAACAAAAACAAAACAAAACAAAACAAAACAAAACAAAAAACAAAAAAACAACAACAAAAAAAACAAAACCAAAGAAAACAAAATAAATCAAAAAACAAAAAAAAAAAACAACAAAAAAACACCCCCCCCCCCAAAAAAAAAAAAATCAATCATGTGTTTACAGTTATATAGAAAATATTGACATTCGTGATTTTTTTTTAAATAGTTTATCTTGTTCGCCCCTGCAAATTTCAAACATGACAAACTTATCATCAAAAAGGAAAATAACGAAGGTCAGTAAACAATGAATTTAATAATCAAAACCTTAAAAATGGAATTGCACTTTGTTACACAGTTATTACACAGGTGAATGAAAAACGTTGAGCCCCTGAATTTTCTATGCCACAATCTATCTGAAACTAAAATTTAGTAAATCAGAAATATTTGCTACTCACCATGGTTTTGGGCTGGCTTTGAGCAAAGAATCCAATATCTTTCTTTTTATAGCAGAATTTTAATAGAATATTAGCGAAATTCTATCATCAATAAGAAACAAATTTGATGTTAAATGATTGGGATTAATAGTCCTTTCAGATGAGATAATGTAGATTCCATTTTTTTGTACAAATGCTAATATTTCATGAATGCAGTGATGACAAAGCATAACCGTATGTAACTAACAGTTTGCAAAGAAAACCGGCAAAGTTATACACTTATTTCCAATATTTCATTTTTTATATATGGGTTCAATATACTTTCCCTTTGTTCCTTTTTGCTTTTAGAATAAATATATAAATTTTAGACGGAGAACGATCCTTTCAAAACGCACCTATAGATTATACATCGTATAAAAAACAAGAATACGGTCTGCAAAAAAGGAGGAAAATACGATTTAAAAATATCAAATACTGGTAAAAAAAAAAAAAGGAATCAAAATAAATAAACATAAAATATTTTTAAAAAACACCTAATAACATCCCCACCAAAAAAAAAAAAAAAAAAAAAAAAAAAAAAAAAAAAAAAATTATCAATCATGTACACAAAATATCATTATTATTGAAACTTTTATGAAAAATATATATTCTTTCTTGTTTTCTTACGCAAACTCATATTATGATTATTACAAAGGAAAGTATCGAATATCCGAGCGCTTTAAAACTATATGGCATAATAATCTACATAAAACATTACTACATATTTTTTTTCAAACTTTGGAAACAGGGTCAATTTTATATCTCTATCACTATGGTTGATCATTTTTTTACTAATATGACTACGTTTTTTTTTTGTTCGTCTGTTTGTTTGTTTTTATGCCCCTGGATCGAAAGATCCCGGGGGTATATTGTTTTTGTCCTGTTTGTCTGTCTGTCTGTTGTCGGCTTTAACCTAGCCCATAACTATTGCGCTGTCAAGGGTAAGGCTTTAATATTTGACATGAGTGTTCATTATGACAAGACCTTTCCATTGGTACAGAAATTTTTGATCATGTGACTTCAACTGTGACCTTTGACCTACACTTGAAAGACTTTAACATTGGCCATAACTATTGCACTGTAGTCTACGTCCCACTCCAGAATTGTGTTACCATCGGGGGCAAAGTGTTTCACAAACACATCTTGTTTTGTTTTGTTTGTTTGTTTGTTTGTTTGGGTTTTTTTTGTAGAGCTAAAGACGACCGAAAGTAAAGTCAATGAATGGAAATAAAATGACTATATCAAAGCAAAAATATGTTGTTTCTAAGGCCACATGATGGCTGTTTGAGCTGAATCGCATTATTTTTTTCGAATACAGATACCAAACTAAATATGCCAAGTTCACCTGCGTGATTTACAGCGTACCACTCTTGCTTCTCTCGGAAGTATTTCAATGTGACTTTAGAAAAAAAGGAATGTGGTTTGTTTTAATCATTATTTTACAACTATTAACCTGCCTGTTAATATATACTGGAATTTCAGGAGATCGTTTAATAATGGACATTTTACTTTTCTGTATCCCACGTTCTTCTATTGCTTCTCTGATGACTATATTCATGCTTCTTTTCAACAAATCACAGAAAACTTCAACATCAACATTATTATATACATGTATATTGATGTGGTTCAAAAATTGGAGATACAACTTACCATGTTTTTGTACTGGCTTTGAACGATGAATCAAACACATATCCCAACGATAAATGAAAGTTTTGATATCATTGACAGCTGCTTTTTCAATGAAAATGGAACTCGTAAATTTACTTACCTTGTCATTGGTCATTTGCAAAATTATTTTGTTAAAAAACATTGATTGTACAAACAAGTACTCTGAAGTTGACATTGAAAAGATGCTTGAGTTTCTGATTGACAATATCTATGTGGTTTTTGGAGACCAGGTCTTCCAACAATCTATTGGAATTCCCATGGGTACCAATTGCTCCCTGTTATTAGCAGACCTATTTTTGTATTCATATGTAGCAGAATTTGATTTGTCCAAAATATTATACGTGAAAAGAAGAAAACACTTGCTGTGGCCTTCAACTCGACATTTAGGTATTGTCAATTAACAATGGTTATTTCCATTCGTATGTCGATACGATATATCCCGGTGCGAGCTTGAGATAAAAGATACCACAGAGTCTGACACATCTGTTTCATATTTGGATATTTTACTTGAAAAAGACGTTAATGGTAATCTAACAACCAAGCTTTGTGATAAACGTGATGAATTAAACTTTTCAATCGTCAACTTCCCTTACTTATGCAGCAATATGCCTTCATCACCTGCATACGAGGTTGATATCTCTCAGTTGATTCGATACGCAAGAGCATGCTCTACGTATGTACTATTTCTAAAACGAGGTAAATTATTGACAAACAAGTTGATGAAACAAGAATATCAGCAGTCTCGTTTAAAGTCATCATTTCGTAAGTTCTCTGGTCGATATAATGACCTTGTCAGCAAATACAATTTATCATTAAGTCAAATGCTGACTGACTTTTTTCATACTAATTGTTAGGCCATTATTTACACATTGAATTGTCGTCAGATTTTCCCGTTATTTCCCGATCATGGCAGGAACACACGGCGGGTGTGACCGGTCGGCAGGGGATGCTCACTCCTCCATGGCACCTGATCCCACCTCTGATGTTTTGGAGGTCCGTGTTTGCTCTGCTCCTATTTTGTAATGTTTAATGAACTTTTGAGCTTGAATACTGTTCGTTATCTACATATATTTCATCCGGCATTTTGAGATGATATACACAGATTCTGATATCCTCCCATTAATAATCATGATTAATATAAACACGACAAAACACATTAAGCAACTAAAAGAATCCAACACACTATTACTTCTTTTTTCCTAATCTATATTTCTGATTCCGTTTGTCAGTATTACCTTGGATATAATTTATACGCAATAGATCTATAGAAATAAATATCATTGTATGTTTTTCATTCATATTTATGTCACCTGAACGATTAAGAAAACTTTTAAGCATCATGTTAAATTCTGTGTCTCCGTCATGAACGTCCGGGCAGGGACCTATAGGTCCTTGGTCCGGGCCATAACTTTTCCGAACTTTACTGGAAGAGTTTCATGTAATGTATGTTGTTGCAGATATGTATTTCAGTTGAAACAAATGTAGGTGAATAAGAATCGGCCTAAACTAAAATGGATTTTTTAAATGGAGATTTTTTTTTACCTATCACATATCACATTACTTAAGAAATAATGCATCATTTTTAGAGTTTCATTGGGATATTGCGTGAAGTTGGTCATGTGATCAAATCCTATAACGCCCGAAGGGCGTTATAGTAGATTTGATCAAGTACCAACTTCAGGCCATATTCCAATGAAACTCTAAAAAATAATATTTTATTTCTTATATTAATATTTATTCCTGATACAAAGAAAAAAATTACTATTTAGACTTCGTTATGAAAATGCAACATTACATACATGTACGACATTATGTGACGTCACAGTCTAGCCCTTCCAAAAGTCCTGCGCGGTTTGCTTTTCATACACAAGAAATTTTGATCACGTGACCAACTTCATGTCATTGAAAATTGAAATTCAATTTAATTAATATTGTCATATAAGAGGACTTTGGTGAATAATAATAATATATTGCTTTTTCGTTTAATATTTGCATACAATTGAATACTATACAGATGACATTAAATATTAAAAAGCTCTTTTAAAAAATCTTCACAACATTATCATTATTCATTCATTTATTTATTATTTTAATTGTAATTTTTACACATATGAATACAACCGTAATTGATTTGAAAATCAGAGACATTGTGGATCTTTGTAACATCAAAAACTAAAATTCCTAGATGAATGCCTTTTGTGTTGTTAATAAACTGTAATAATGCAAAACTTTTTTTTCTGTCTTAACAAAAAAATTTCTAAAACATACAGCAATCATAAGTTAAGTACAAAATGACATTCTAGATAAAATTTAGACATATTCTCTAAATTGAAACAATGTGTTTAACAAAGATCAATATAATACTCTTCAGAAAATATAATTGGATTCTCTGGAATGGTCTGATATTTGAAACAGTTTCCCAGTTATACGGAAATTAAAAATGTATCATTTGATACTGTATATCTTATACCTTTCCGTACATAACATCATTTTCCACAATTTTTCTTTGAAATAAAAGTCACACACCTTTAAAAGAGAAAACAAAATTTATATAGATTATTGATTCT